AGGCAAAAGAAGAGACTTTCCAAAGAGAGCACCGCACCTTTCCGCTAACTGATGTGCCAATTGGAAGAGGTCTGATTGTAACAGTCCCATTCAGAGCTTCTTCGAGTACATTAGCAGAAATTGTTGTCTTAATAGGAACGCCAAGCTTGCTACAATGATTGAAATAATTTCAGAAAGATTCATGTCAAACTCCGAGTATCGAAAACATCTAGTGCTGAAGATTACAGAATTATCACAATTCAGTTTCACACATAAAAATACCTGAATAATGCAGCAAACACTGTATTGACTGTTCCCAGGTTTGACAAATCAATTTCCATGTCCATACTTTCTGCATCTAGAGCCTGATTAGGGATGATTGAAATTTTTTACATATTAGGTGTTTCCAAAATTACCGTGAACATATTGCTACTGCACAAATATGAAGAATATACCAGAATATAAGAACAGATATCACATTCACACAAACCCAAAGAAGGTATATACAGAACAAACAAGCTATTCATGCAATTGTAAAGGATCGAAAGACTGGCCAGCATGCTCCATCACGACTAACACCTTACACCACAAATTTCTTCACAATCAAAATAACCATGGATCTTCATAGCAAGGCAGTACATTTTCCTATACCCTAACCCCACCCACTCTCATCCCCTTTCTCTCTTTCCCGTACATATCTATAGAAGAAGGATGGTGGTTGGTGCCAATATCATCTATTCAAGGAAATGTGGAGCTGCACCATTGTGAAGTTCTGGTGAGCTACACCAGTTCTGCTAGAATATTTCCGTAATAAATGAGGCTTTAGAAGTTAGGCCATGAAGCCAATATCCAAATGGTCTTTATAGACATGAGAACCCAGCATGCAAGTTCTCTGGTACTCCACATGTTTGATTATATAAAAGACAGCCTTTCTAAACTGTGACATAGACCTAAGCTCTCTTCCATTATGGTTAGACAAAAGCTCGCTTAAGCATAAGAAATGTAGAATGGTTATCGGAAGGAAAGGTAAAGATAATAGTTTACTGAAAGATCACCTCAAATCCTGCACTGTCATACTGCCTTCTCTTCTCTGGGTCAGATAAGATACTGTAGGAATATGCAACCTCCTTGAAAAGTTCTGAAGCTTCCGGATTGTTGGCATTCTTGTCTGGATGATACCTGCCCATGATTTACATCATTCAATTAATAAATGTTGATTAATCTAACAACAAAAAAAAGAAAGATTAAAGATGGCCACTATCAAACTAAAAAACACATACAAATACACCAAAAAGGAATAAAGAGAATCAATCAGACTAGCTATGAAGCTAAAACACTATAAACTGAAAATGCAGGAGCGTATGCCTTAGCTGATCATATGCATGTACAATTGCAGGAATTAAACCAGGTTGGAATCAGTGGAAAGAAGATTTAACAAGGATTCCAGTCCAGTTCAATTAGACTCTAAGCAGACATAAGCTGCAGAAAGCAGCAGTATGATCATTCCAGAGAAGAACAAGACATGGCAAAAGGTAACTGAGAGAAACTTAAGTCCACCAATTTGGTGCGGAAGTAGACACTAGCAAGACGTTCTATTTCCTTAATTAACCAGCACCATGAGGGAAAGTGGAAATTTTCATTATTATTATTATAATATCACATACTTTTCTCTAGACCCCATGTTGGAAGAGTACCTTCTCATTGTTTGTTCAACCTGAGAACTAACTTCACATCTCTGTTTATCAGCAGCAGAAGCACATGGAGGGCTAAACCTTTGCCCCCTCATAAACAAACCATCACATTTTCTCCCTACCAAAACAGCAAACAACCTCCACTACTTCCACCCTCTCCATCATTCAACTCTGTTTCACTTACTTGCTTATTTTGTATCCAATCCCAGTTCACAAGACATATATATCATTTGGATGAGAAATTCTAACAGATCAATTTGACCAATTGTTTCGTTTTGAGACAATCTAGCCAAATTTATTTGTTTGGCAGCATAAAATTTGGATGAAGTCATTTGGCCTGGGGAATTTCAAATTGACTCATTTTGATGCAAACTACAATTGTCTGGGGTAGAGCAAGACAATTCGAATTGATTCGTTTTGTAAAATGAGTCAATTAGCCAAATTGCCTCGTTTTTTAATTGATCCACCAAACGAACCACATTGACAAACTCGAAACAAGCAACTCCCAGCAGGTTAAATCATATTGTTTATCCAGCCTTATTCCTATGATTGCAAATGAGTGCTAGGCTCCTTCCATGTTCTCTGCCCATGAAGGAAAACAATGTAACTACTAACCAATGGCCGATTCAAGCTGTGTAGTTAACATCAAGCGGGATTCTATCATGAGCACACTGCATACCCAAGTTGGGTTTTCTACTCTGAAAACATTTACAGCATCACAGTACAATAGCTACTCTAAAGAAAAGGCCTTTACAACTCGCCTGGCAAATCTTCATCCGTTATTCCACAAGCTCACTTAGCTAGTCTAGCTAACATGAACAAAATTGAACAACTCCAACTGGCACGTTCTCTAAACCCATTCATACAAAGATTGCAATCAAGAAAAGCCCAACAATTCACACCGTAACCCATAATAAATGGACGTTTTCTTTCTGAAGAATTGACAGGTATAAGAACTTACTTCAGAGCAAGTTTCCTGTACGCGGTTTTGATTTCTTGATCGGTAGAATCCCTTGAAACAGATAGAACCTCATACGGGTCGCGCCGAATTGCTGGAGCTGCACCTGATGGAGCGCTTTCCGCCTTCTTCGAACTCATCTCAACCCTTCAATCTCCCCCTATCCCTCTCTTCTGTCACGCTCTCTACTCAGTCCCTCTCAGCTATCTTTCTCCTCGGAAACCCTTTTCAATCCAAAGAACTAATCTTTTCATTCACCGCTTCGTGCCCCCCTGCAAATCTAACAGAGCGCTTAATTCCTCAAAAATCGGATCCACTGGAACTGAAATTTTGGAAAATTACGCACAACTCAAAGCAATTCATCGGGATCCCTCTTTACTTACTCTCCTCGGGAAGAACAAAAAAGTAAATCGCTTAATTGGTAAACCTGGGACACAAAAATTTTAACTTTACAGCACTGTAGAAAGTCGCAACGAAATCTCGAATTCAATCCAGAGAACCCAATGGAGAAGAAAGCGAGCATTCTGGTTTTGGCAGCTGGAAGAGGGTTTGTTTACCTTGGTTCTGTCTCTCGGTTGGCTTTTGTCCCTTTGCTGCTGAGTCTCCTTTTCCTTCCGCTTCTTCTTCTAAATCTAGCAGCTGCTGCTTTGCAGCAACGACGTGAATTCAAGAGAAGGTGGGTTCGTTTTCCTTTTCGCTATCTTTTTAAATAAATTTTTGTCCTTTTTAAGATACAGAATCAGGATTATGGGCAATAGTGTTCTGGTTTTCGCCGTCAGATTCCGTCCTCAAGCCTAAAGAATTCAGATTACCATTCAAATTAATTCATTATATTTCTTTCCCAACATGTCAGATAGGACATTGAGTAAGTATCATTAGTTCATTACCGACGTTCAAATAACCATGAAGAAAATCAACCTAAGCAACCAATTTTTTTTTTATAGACCTTAGCAAAATTTAGACTATTTCCTGTTTTCTTTGTTATTAATTTGTTTTTAGTGTGTGTTTGAGTAGAATGATTTGGATATTATATTTGAAATGTGAAATTGATTGTGTGAATCTCAAATACATCCCGTGTATTGTTTGTGAATTTCAAATAAATATAAAAAAATAGTGATTTGAAATTCCCCATAGTAACATACCGTACTTATTCGTAAAATTTAAAAGTTCGGGTGCTATAATGCAAGACAAAAAATTATAAAGATACTAAAACATAATTTTACAATCAAAATTTCTAAATCATTGGTAAAAATAAATTTCGATACTATTTTGTAATTTTCCAAAAAAATTTGTATGTGACTGAAGAATTCAACATTGATAAAATCTCATAATATATAAAATGCCAACAAGTCACATATGAGTATCCAAAGAATGAATTTGAATTACATGTATTTCAAATTCATGATTTCAAATATGTATTTTAAAATATACATATCCAAACACACCCTTACGGTCTTTCCTTTCTTAATGTTTGATGCTTAGAGCTTAGTTATGGTGTGTCTCATAAATAATTACTGGAGTTAGAGATTGTAAGGAATGAGAAACTGCGAGTTCTCCATAGTATCATATATTGCGTGGGAATTTGGCTATGGTCCTTATTAAGACTATGTGGATTCAACCTTTTGATAGATGTATGAATGACAAGTATAGCAACTGAATTATGAGATTATATAGTGTTCGGCCGATGTAGAATGTTAGAAACATAATTACTAATTAGTTATTATTACGAGTTAAGCACAACAACATAGAGTTCAGTCAAATTAGGTTGTTTGAAATAGGAGTATTTTCATGTTATTAATCATGATTTTTAATACAAGTTGAGTCGTTCTATTAGGTTTCCGTCCAGTTTTTTCCATAAATATCCTAGTAAAAAAGCAACGAGATATAGGAATACAAATTTGACAATAATTAGATGTAGATGTGAAAATCCACTATTAATAAGCAAACTTTCATGAAGAGTTTATTTAGTCTTTAAGATGGACAATCCTTATGAAAATTGATCATAGTAAAGGAGACTCACTATCCAACCTCGGTCAGCAGAACACCACCAAGTACATGCAATATTTCCTTTCTTTGCTTCTTCCAAATTACATGTTGAACATCATAGCAAAATAGTGCCTTGGAGATGTCATGATAAATGCACTAACATATAACTTCTCATCAAGCTAGAAGTTCCACCATGAATGGATCCAAAACATCAATAAAGAAGCGTCCAAAAAACGCAAAGAAAGTGATCTAGGAAATCGAAGTTTGACTTCGATTTGATCGTGGTCTGATCGAAAAATGTTATTGGTGGCATCATAGTTAAATGAAAGTCGATCTTAATTTTATATCACGGTACATATAAACCAGTTTTTGGCTTGACCATGATGTAACCAAAAAATTCGTCATTTTTAGCAAAAATATCTACTCAGCCTCGCTATTAATAGTGGGTCTAAATTGATGGCAATGAGGCTCGATCGTGACGATGGAGCACTTACTGGGCAGCGAGATAGTGTTTGTTGGTGCTAAATTGGAAAGGGAAAGCTAATAAAGTAAAAATAAATAAATGATAACTTTAAACTTTTAAGACGATGATTAATAATTTTTAGAGCTAAGAATAAAAACCATCATTCTAAAAAAATGGTCGGTGCTACTTCTTTCGTCTTCAGTATTAGGGTTTAAGTGGCCCACTAGGTGCTGCTGATCCAATTCAATCTATTGTCCCTTTCTTTCCCGAGCCGAATCGATTGGATTCGAGTTGAAACTTGGTCTGGCTTTATTTTGGTTGTAGCATTAGTTTGCGATGCCTCCCTTCCACTGCCTTTACACTAGATCCCAAGTCACCCACCTCCGACCACAAATACCATCATTTTCTCCACTATCATCGTTGGACCGCGCCACCATAGGTGGCCTCGCTTTTCCCTCGGCGTGTTCCTCCATACCAGCGGCCTCAAGGAGATCAACTCTTACACTCTCATAACTGTCACAGTTGGAGCTTCACCCCAGAAATCTCTGTCATTGTCGCTTCTGCTCTGTCGTCGTATATGGTGATCGTGAGGCGCACTTCAAATTCAAGCCTGAAGGAGAAGGGAAAAGGTTTAAAGTGATAGAGTGGAGCAGGTCGGATTTTAACCTCCTCACGTCGGATAATGTTTGAGGCGAAAATTGGTAACCCGTCGTGGGACGCGGGGCAGATTGGATCAGGAATTCGAGGACAGAGCAGGGAGCAGATTTAGCACTATCTGCCCTTAACATGCCCTGTTGCATTTCCTACTCGAATTGGATAATATTTATCTCCAATCTACTTTGAAGGAATTGAAGGAATTCCTACAATTATGAGTTAGGCATAGTAGTATGGGGTTTGGCCGAATTAGTTTGGTAAGGAAATAAATATGCTTTTTTTGGGAGTTCTGGTATAGGGAGCTATCAATTACAAATTGTGTGGTGAAATATGTTGAAAGTCTGTAATTATCTCATTCAATCGATTTTTATCAAAAGTGTGATGATTTTTTTTATCTGAAACATTCTTTCTTGTCCAAATTATTAAATTGAAACTCTTAATCTGTAGAGTATACAAATTACCGTTCTTTTTTCTCAAATGTTGATATCAAGATATTCCATAATGAATTTCTGATTCCCATAAAAAGTTGAGTTGCATGCATTATCTTTACTACTATTACGTAACTATATTTCCTCAAAAAAATTAAGTTTACTATTGGCGATTCGAAGTCACAAAAAGATTGATGATAGAAATAGTAGAGAGTAGAGACCAACCTAAAACCAACCTAGAGAGGAAAACCCAACAAAATGTCACCAAGACACCAACCCTAAAGTAGAGAATATCGTCCCAATGCAAATGCCTCTCTCTCATGCCACTTTCACTTCACCACCAACTTCACTCCTACGGAAAATCCCCAAACCTCTCCTTTATATCCCCTCCCCATTTCACACATCCTTTGTGCTACTAATACCAAAAACCATTGTTAGCTCCCCTCAAACTAACAAAAATGTCACAGAAAAATGGCGACCACCATCGCAGCACTGCACTTAGACGCGTCCCTACACCAGGAAAGGCAACTCTGCTCGCAATCGGCAAGGCTTTCCCAAGCCAACTCATCCCTCAAGAATGTCTCGTCGAAGGCTACATCCGTGACACCAAATGCGACGATCCCGCCATCAAGGAGAAACTGGAACGATTATGTATGCTCTTGAAAACACCTAACGTGCAGTGGCATGGCAGAGCCACATTATAGTTAAGAGGGGCTATACCCCCTCCTCAACTCTTAAAATTAGCGTAAATTTATGTGTAAATTATAGTTAGGAGGGGCTATATACCCCTCCTCAACTCTTAAAATTACGTAAATTTATATGTAAATTTTGTAACGTATTTGCAAAAATAGAGTAGGTTTTAAAGCTTTTTATCTCCTCTCTCCTATTGAAACCGCGAATTTTTAGCACCCCTCATTCATATTTCTGGCTGACAGATTTGTGTTAATGAACTTAGGCAAAACGACAACCGTGAAGCGCAGGTTCACCGTGCTGTCCAGGGAGATACTGGACAAGTACCCGGAGCTGGCGACGGAATGTTCCCCGACGATCAGGCAGAGGCTGGAGATCGCAAACCCGGCGGTGGTCGACATGGCGGCGGATGCCAGCCTGGCGTGCATCAACGAATGGGGGCGGCCGGCCTCCGACATCACCCACCTCGTCTACGTGTCGTCCAGCGAGATCCGCCTCCCCGGCGGGGACCTCCACCTCGCCACGCGCCTCGGGCTGCGGAGCGACGTGGGGCGCGTGATGCTCTACTTCCTCGGCTGCTACGGCGGCGTCACGGGGCTGCGCGTCGCCAAGGACATCGCCGAGAACAACCCTGGCAGCCGCGTCCTCCTCGCCACCTCGGAGACCACCATCCTCGGTTTCCGTCCGCCGAGCAAGGCCCGCCCCTACGACCTCGTCGGGGCGGCGCTGTTCGGCGACGGCGCCGCCGCCGTGGTGGTGGGTGCCGACCCGGTGGAAGGGAAAGAAGAGGGGTTCATGGAGCTGAGCTACGCGGTGCAGGAGTTTCTTCCGGGAACCCACGGGGTGATCGACGGGCGGCTGTCGGAGGAAGGGATCAACTTCAAGCTCGGCAGGGATCTGCCGGAGAAGATTGAAGGGAACATTGAGGAGTTTTGCAGGAAATTGATGAGGAATGGGGGTTTGGGCGATGGTGTTGGGTTTAATGAGCTGTTCTGGGCGGTTCACCCGGGTGGGCCGGCGATACTGAACCGGTTGGAGGGAAAGCTCGGGTTGGAGGAAGGGAAGCTGGATTGTAGCAGGAAGGCGTTGATGGATTATGGAAATGTGAGTAGCAATACAATCTTTTATGTGATGGAGTATATGAGAGAAGAGCTGATGAAGAAGAAGAAGAAGAGGAAGGGAGGAGAATATAAGGAGGGTGAAGAAGAAGAAGAAGAAGAAGAAGAAGAAGAATGGGGGTTGGGATTGGCTTTTGGGCCTGGAATTACCTTTGAAGGTGTTCTTCTTCGTAGTTTGTGAACCCTAAATTTGGGATTATGATCGATATGCAGAAGTTACTGTGAACTAAATAAATGGAACAGTATCTATTTTCGTTTATTTTCCTGGTTTCAGTTTCTTATGAGGTAAAAGATTCTCTTTTTGTCAAACTAGCTTAGCCGCTGCTTAAACAACATCCATGTATACTAATTACTGGTTTTGAGTGATTTTGTGCTGGATTACATTACCATGTTTCTCTCTTTCATGACTATAGACGTGATTTGGATGAATGAATCGTGAAATTTTTGGCTGATTTGGATGAATGAATCGGTCCAAGACTATTATCCATAAAGTCTAATATTTTGCATCAATGATTAAGCCTATTATGCACTGATTTTTGCGGATTTTTTCCGGAGTCATTTTTGGCAAATTCCAAAGGAGTACCATCACAGAATTCAGACATTTTTTTTCAAAATGCAATTTTCTTAGGATTTTTGAAGGCTACTGATCATAGAATCGGCCTGATGCTATTCTCCACCATGATGAAGTCTATTAAGCGTCGATTTTGGAGGGGGGTTTTCGGAGAGCATTTTCTTAATTTATGAGCGATTTTTTCGAGAGGCTATTTTTATTTTATTTTGAAGGCTTAAGATCACGGATTCGGTCTGAGGCTATTATGCACCGACGATTAAGTCTATTAAGCACCGATTTGGGTGGATTTTTTTCGGTCCATTTTTTGGTAGATTCCAAAGGGGTACATCACAGATTTTATGTGGTTTTTTTAAAAGACAATTTTGTTTGGATGGAAGGCTATTGATCACAGATTTGGTCCGAGGTTATTCTGCACCGATGATTAAGTCTATTAAGCACCAATTTGGGCGAATTTTTCCGAGTCCATTTTTGGCATATTCCGAATGGATCACAAATTTCGGGCGATTTTTTCGGAAGACCATTTCTTTTGATTTTGAAGGCTACTGATCACGGACTTGCCTTGAACTTATTATCCACCGATAGTGAAGTCTATTAAGCGCCGTTTTTTACGAATTTATTTTGGAGGGCATTTTTGTAATTTTTGAGCGGCACTGACAGGATCGACAGAGAATCGAAGCGATAGGGTGTGACGACGGAAAAGGGCCGCATGAATAAAACCCAACTCTTTAAAATTATTTATGTTGATTTTTTTATTATTATGAATATTCAGGTTAATTTTTAATAAGGATAGTTTTTAAAATTAATTATAATTTCTTAAATATCCTTGATAACTACTTAATCACTAACTCCCTAATAATTAACTAAAATCTCAGCATACAATCGGAAAGCTTTAACATTCTGTTTAAAGAATGAGGTGTAAGGACTGAAATTTAAGCCTCCATTTGTGGATCTCAGGTCGGAGGAAGACACAAAGTGAACCCATAGCAAATCGAGAAACTCCTATGAACCAAACAATCGACAAAAAGATTACTTTCCCTAAACACGCGCTCGACGACTCATCTGTCGCTTGCAGAAATTAATATTGCTGCTGTCGAATCCATTTGCAGAACTGCCTTCCAATGTTCAAAAATTGCCAAACCAACGGAGGACCCTCAATAACCCCTCGGAGTTACACGCCAGTGATGAAACAACTTCCCAAATTAATACTACTAAGATGAAAATCAATTCCAATTTTACTGCTCAGTTCATGCACTTCTACTATACTATAAAGTATTGGTGCTTTAATGTACAATTTAAAGTTGTACCATAACGTTAAATGTATAAGTTCAGGTTGTACCATAAAAGAATTTGTGCTCTTATGTTATGGTACAACTTTATAACTTAAACTTGTACCATCAAATGAAAGTACAAGTTTAAGTTGTACCATAAAACAATTTGACAAAAGAGTATAGGTACAATCTGAAGTTGTACCATAACGTTAAATGTACAACTTCAAATTATACCATAAAGGGAAAAACCTATAGCACCAATGCTATATAGCATTGTAAAATTCCTCCTCAGTTCATTTATCCACATAAATCCAGTTGGAATCAATTTTATCACAAGCAAATTAAAAATCACTTTGATTATCACAAGCAAAATTAGAAGGAAAACAAGATTCAGAAATAGGCCGACGTGTCATGTTCCCCGAACCAAGATAACAAAAAGAAATCGATAACCCGCCACAGCCTCAAAATTCAATCCAGAAATCCGCTCCCATGTCTCTCTTCGTCGCCAGCGGCGGCAATGTTGCCAAAACTCTCCCCGCCGGAGCCATCTCCGTACAGCGCCATCTGTCGTCTAACTACTTCCCCCGTCGCAGTGGCGTCCGGCTTCCGCAGCCGCTCTCCCCCAGGAGAGCTCACCTCCTCCTCCACATAGTCTCCGCCAAGGGTCGGCGGGGCTCCATCAAAACCACCGAGAAGTCGGGGGAGAAACGGAACACGAATCCCGATCAGATCGAGTTCGGCTCCTCCACAGATGGCACTGAGAGCAGCAGCGCCGGTTTAAGCAGCGGTAGTGTTGTTGATGACGGTTTTGTGATGCCGAATCTCCCAGGGGACGAAAAGGACTTCTGGGAAGGTCCGCAGTGGGATACTCTCGGCTTCGCCGTCGAGTATCTGTGGGCACTGGGTATTGTTTTTTCGGTATGACTAACTACCTCTCCCTTTCATTTGGTTCTACGGCTCTCTTGACGTTGATCCCTATAACTCGAGTTGTTTGGTCGAGACTTGAACCTTAGCACGATTAGATTGGTTTTTCGTAGTGAATGTCAGTTTCAATTATGCATTGACAATGCTCAATTTCCCATTCCACGCGCAGTTGATAGCTTGTGGCGTTGCTGTGGCTACATACAACGAAGGAGCAACAGATTTCAAGGACACTCCGGCGTACAAAGAGTCCACCCAGACAGGGGATGTTTTGGAAGAACCTGGTGAATCTGTTTTCGAGTCCAATCCAACTGAGGAGGCACCTAGTTTGGATTAAGCAAATCTTTGTGAATTCGACGCGAAGAAGAATGAAACGGTCTCCGTGGATCCTCCATACGTTGGCGCTCGAAGGATAGAAGACGACTCCATAAGGTTTATGATTTGCTTGCCTATACTTTGCGCTGAAAGGATTTGCTGCTGCTGCAAGCTCTTCAGTCTGTGCCCGCGCAGATTAGTCTGAAGCGCATGCATTTGGCTATCGAAAAGTTGTAATTGCTTAGACAATCTTGGTGTTGGACAACTGTATACTGAGATGCGCTGGATTTATAGTAGAATCAAGGTAGTTCCTTTAGCTACTAGTAAGTTTGATTGTTGCAAATCTGAGCTCAATTGCATAACAAACATAAAAAGTAGCCCAAAGGGATATAAATCGCATGGAAACCAACCATGTAAGGTGAGTTGGAGAAGGGCTGTGAGGTTTATGAATGCTTATGGCCCTACAAGGTCTGGGTAGCCCGTCATCGAGCACCCTAATTCGAGCTAGCTATGGGGTGGCATTCCGCAGCCACCCACGACACAAGGTGAACATCCATTACAGGCTCAGACTCCAATACAAGCAGAGAGATGGGTCATTGTTCATGGCCATAGCCAAGCAATGGATATAGAGTGGCGGCATGCCATCTCGGAGTCGAATTACCAAAGGATAGAGCGCAAATGGATATTAAAACAAGTCAAACATTCTACAATTTCGCAATCCTGCACAGATTGCAGGCACAGTGTATTGACAGGAGTTTCGGAGTGCATCGATGAATGATTATTAGATAAGACCTCACAAATTGAAGGAACTAAGGAGATCAAATAAGAGTTGACCTGCGGAAAGAATTCGAGTTCTGCAGAATCACCGGCATTGTGTTTACATTACCATCCCATGCTCATTAAGTATCGAAAAATGCTTTCAATTTCAGAAAACAGGACACTAACAAAAGTCCAATTATCAGCTACTCATACCGCCTCGCCCACCTGTCTCAAACTTGTTCAAAACTTATGCAGGTGGGGAAGGATGAAGGACTTTGGTTGTAGAAGTTCTCGGGGAATAGAAGTAGACAAGTAGTGGTTGTTATAATGTACAATCAAGTTGTAAAAATCGTGGAGAGTATATATACACACCTATATTGGACGGAGGAAACACGTAGAAGTGGTACCGGCCTCTGTCACTTGCTCTGACTCTGATTTGCAGTCGAGCAGTAGGAATTGGTACGAATCGCCCTGGTGTTGCAGGAACCTCCACATGCGGTAAAAGCCGATTGAAAGTTCAATACCAGCCTCTCTCACTCACTCTGTCTCTGACTTGGGGCCGAGCAGTTGGGATCGGTCCTAATCACCCTGGTGTTGTAGGAGCCGCAGGAGCCACACTTGTGGTAAAGCCAATGGAACGGTGCACTTCCTTTCTTGTCGCAGTCATTGCACAGAATATCCTGGATTTGCCACTTCAGTTAATATCCTTTCTAGGTTCCGAACATAAAACATTCTGAAACAATTAAGAGGTAGTTACCTGACAACGATCCCTGTATTCTTCAGGTAGCACCTCAGAAGCCAATAGGGCATCAAGCATTCCAAAATAAACCTGGACGCGAAAAACACAAGGGACAGCTCCTATCACATTCCAGTACCAATTGACAATACAACCAAGTCCTGATAAACACTTGAAAAAATTTGCAGTTGTTGAGCATTATAAGAAGTCATAATAGCTAGGGATGACAAAATTCAATCTGAACGGCTCAACCTGACCTAACCTGTTCTTATATGTTTTGTGCAGGTAAGTGGGGGCGAGGTATGTCCTCATTTCCTTCATTCCGCCCATCCTACCACATTCTCAATGAGTTTTGTCTCAATTCTATTTGATGTTTACTCTTATTTAAATTTCTCTAACATCATATTTTAACTCTAATGAAACTAAGACTATGAGTGAGCTTTCAGATAACCAAGACTTCAATAGTCATGCTATTCTCTTGCTTTCCTATAGAAACTATTTTCCCTGTAGTGTTTAGTACAAAAACGAAATATTGTGTCGCATATTTTCAAATCACCTGTTAGAACAGGTCCACTTGCAAATGACCATTGCCCCGAGACACATTACACCAACCTGACTAGCACTTGGCAAGAGGCAGGAATGGGTATTGAAGTACCCGTCCAACCACACCCCACAGCCACTCCTAGTAATAGAGTAGTATTTGTAATGCTAATGCACATATATATCACAACATGTTAACACAGTAACACAATCTCATTCCAGCATGAACGTTACAAGAGTTCAAATAAGACTTATGAACGCAGCTTTGCACTGAAAGAGCTTGAGCTTGGCAACATTTACAAGATTATGATTAAAGAAAAGCTAAAATCAAGAACAACCGAAATGCACAATAGTCATACAAACTTACCGACATATCTCCCATTGACTTGCTACAAATTGGACACATGTAATGACTGCAAGTGTATGCCTATCAAAAGAAAAGGCAAAACATAAACTCCATAGTATCAGAAAAGCCTGTCAATCTTGCAATCAACAAATTTGAATATTTGATAAGGAACCAGAGTAAAGAATATACCTGAAAGCAGCTCGAGTGCATGAAATGTCCACACGGAAGGCCTCTCACACTCAAGCTTGATGTGAACAAAAAGTCACAACAGATTGGGCAATTTGTTTCCAGGCTCTTCTCCAGGCATTTATGGTCTACCAACTTTATGGTAAGGCAGTAATTGCACTTCATGCAATGGAAGAAATCAATACCAAGGCCCTTCCCAACACGGCATAGATTGCAGAATGGGCAATGGTATACATTTCTGAAAATGTTCAAGGGAGAGTGAGCACAGGAGAAGGAACACAGCTTAGCAAACAGAATTCATAAACCAAAGCAAGCCCAATCCAATCCAATCCAATATATTGCTTCCAACGTGGCCTAGTATTAAAACCATTTAGCGAGTCATCCTGATTTTCTACCAAGAAGGGTATACTTGAGTCTTGACCATTATTCATTTTTCATGTTTCTTTCTTTTATCCTCCTCTGAAATATTGATCTCAACTAATTACCAGTGCTCCTAACTGTTCCTATCCAGACTAATTGCAGGAGGAAAATCAAAACATCTCGGAACCATAAGACATTATACTACTACTTCTCTGTAAATGCATTCTCAAGTTCTGTAGAAAAGTAGAGATAGAGAGTAGAAGAAATGTATAGAGGTAACTCTAATGTTTATATCACCATCTAAAAAAACTTTATGTAGGGGCAACTCTAAACCAAATTCAGAGAGGTTAATTGGTCATACCTATCATCATCATAACATTTGCAGATGCTGCAATAATACTTTGCCATAGAGAATCCGCCACAGGAAGGTGTGACACAAACAGGTCCGGCAGGCTGAACTTTCAGGCATTTCATGCACATCATCTCGGTTGTCGCCTTCCTGGTGCAGAAACAAATTATAAAGACAGATGACTTCCGACCAGGACAAGGTAAATATAAACAACATTTGATCATACAGACATTCGAAATCGGAAGCAAGTAAAAAGAATGAGGTCCAAAAAAAAATCAAAAGACAAAATTACCATGTAATCTTTTTGAAGGAAGGATTTCTCATTTTCAGGTTATATATGTCAACTCAGCCCAAAAGTTGTGAAAGAAACTTCGGCAATCACAAATTTTACTTTCCATTAGAGACAAGCCCAGCACGAATGGCCACCATAATTACCTGTCCATAGAATGGTCGCTGACTTTATCATGGCAGAATTGGCACGCAAATAACTTGCCACAGCAAGCTGCGCGAAGCTTACAATTCCGTTTGTAATGCTCACATCCAAAAACCTTTTTATCTGGATCACGAAATGAAGGAGAGCACTCCAAGTTTTCACTATTTGAAGATTCTGCCTGAAGTGACTTTTGCTGGGCTGCTATCCACCGACTGTCAGAAATATCATACCGACCAAGGTAAGTAAAATATTATCATCCAAATGAGGTCCTGAATCCACAAAGCAATCACACACCTCGTCATAAGATTCTGAATTAGGTAAGCTTTTCTTCTAGGATCAAGAGTTGAATCCCGAGAAACCTTCCGAATTTCTGCTTCAAGCTCATTCTGATTCATCCGGAAAATGTCTTTCCAGCCAGGTTTAAATTTGTTATCACTGCAATCTACGCTTTCATGGATATCAGCACCTGAATGAGAAAAAAATATATAGATTCAGAGTAAGAAAATCGAAAAGGTTGTAGTACAGCAAAGAGGACATAAAATGGTGCGACCAAGACGGGATAAAAAACCCCAATTTGTTTCACTAACGTATGAAGACAAATTTACAACGAGCATGTTTCGTTCAGTGTAAATGGATGTTATTTGTCTAGGTTGCATGCTACGAGGTGAGGTATAAATGCAAAACGATATTGGTAAATGAACTTGTGACGGAAAAATGAAATATGCATTTGACACCTACTTTTCTAGAGTGCAATTTTCAAATACATCGTGCCCTATGTAGTTGAGATTGCATCGTTTTATGCATTTGAGGTTGCATATGTAATTTCAAATACAAACACATCAAATATGTCAACAAAAGATTATATATTTCTTCTTTGCATGCTAAATATCAATCTGCCAAAAGGCACCCAACCAAATGATATGAAAGTGAAAATAGGAGTGTCAGAACGTACCCTGGGATATGCAGCTTTCTGATGTAGTAATATGAGGAGTGGCATTAGAATTTGAATTTCCCTCCCACCATTCATTTAGCCACTCACTAAACATTGTGTTTTTGGTTGCCTGCTTCCAAGTATCCATCATTTTGTTCTGCTCTTCCTGAGTAAGAGCAGATGTTACCCATGGCAGCATTGACTGAAGCACCTCAGCACCAGTAGTACCAATAATTCGACCAACAATTTTATCTTGCTCCTCAACAGAAAAGTGTCTATCAAATAATGGCCACAACTCCAGTTCTTCTCGGAAAACATGCTGATCCAGTGTTACTCTTATGGATTTGCACATGCCTTGAAGCTTCGTTGCAAGCTCATTGTACTTCCTAACTGTCTCTTCACAGTCGGAAGCACCACAAAGATTTCCTGATAAATTATCACGGTGCCTGCTTCTCTTCAAGTGTGCATGGAGGTGTGTGAGCTCAGATAGTGTGGTTGAGATATCTTCAAACAGTTTCTCCTCCTGCTTATGGTCCAGCGTATAGGAATGGCTAACGTTGTGAAGCGTCTCTTTAGACTCCAATGCTGGAAATACTATATCATCTTCTGCATTGCTATGTGCTCTGTATAGCCCCCATAGCAAGCGAAACCTACCAGTGAACTGCCTAAGCAAGGGTTCACTAGTGTCATCACATAACTTCCCTGATTCAACATCCAAATACTCCAAGTCTTTGCGAATGGCTTTGTGAAATTTAAATATGTTATCTATAGGGCGAGATGCACAGCCAGTATCCGAGGGACTTACATCTATTTCCCAGTTAAAGAGACTAGAATTAAGAGAGGGAGCAGAAGGACTAACAGATAAAGAGCGAAGAGATTTTGCTGCAGCAAGAGAACTAATTCCTAGACTACTGCTATTGACTCCTAATGCCGGCACACAGCAGGATGAGCTATTTGCAGGTGGTTGGTGCAGATGACCAGTAGCCCCAGAAGAGAGGCACGAACCATTCTCGCCATGCGAAACAGAATTTGGTCTCTTGACTGGTCTTCTTCCACACTCTACCTTTTCTATTTGGCCATTAATAAATGGCTTCTGATCTGGTGATGAAACAGTGTTGCAATTGCAGCATGGTTGTCTAAGGTCATTGGTCTTAGTTCTTGCAGGACAACCATCTAGGGGACTTGAAGACAAGCAAGAATTTCCAGAACGACCTTTACATGCCCAACCAGCAAATAGAGTCACCAATGCAGAATCTGAAGCTGGTGCTGCAAGGGGCCCAATCCACATACTAAGGACTGGAAGGGGGAAAAAACAAAAAGACATAAGAGTTGCAGAATTCAGAACAAGGAAGGTTACTAACCTGCCAGATAAATATTTTGGAGAAACAATCTTGCTTCCTGTTCAGTAAGTGATGCCACCAACCATGGCAAAACACATTCAATTAATTTCAGAGGCATCACACATAAGCTCTGGTAAAGAAGCTCCCGCTGTCTGCTAGCACTAAAATGCTTTCGAGCAAGAGGAAGAACCTATTCAGAGCATGTATATTAGTTACCTTATAGAGAGCCAAAAGTTACTTGAATCGTAAGGCCAATAATAAAAGCAGATTGGAACAAAGAAATGTCATAAGCTTCATTAACAAGAGTATCATAAACAGTTTGAGCAATGATAGTTACCTGAACCTCCTCATTTTTAAAATGTTTTTGTATGGTGTCCATTATGTGATCAGCTTGCGCACAAAACTTCCCATAAAGCTCGGAGAGTGATATGTTGGCCCGAGCATTTTGAATGCTTTCAATAAGGCATCTGAGTTTGTCAAATTGAATTTCTTCTTCGGCATGCTCCTGAGCAAAAGAGAGTTCGGAATCTACGGCAGGGAATATAACCTTGTCCTCAGCAATACTGCAGAGAACAAAACCAGAAATTTCAGCTCTTGCAAGAACATATGCCTTACCAGTTACCATACAAATAAGAGGAGCAGAATTTTCAGTGTTTGTACTGTAACATGCAGAAGAACACCTGACAGAGCTAGTGTGCTTACAAATTGCGATAAGTATAAACGAGCACGGCAGAGTAAGTTGAGAGACAGTGAGACACACAAGAACCATGGTCATCTTAAGTACCAAGAAACAGAAAAAGAAATAAGAGTATGTGTACGATTAGAACCTTCTGACAGCAGAAAAGAACACAAACTATGATGAAAAATAAAAGGAACACCGCCGAAATACAGAACTCGTAGAAGTCTTGCATTATTGGTCGATATTCATTGAGGCAAAGAATAAAAAGGTTTCCAACTCAAATGTAAAAGAATAACAGTTCAGAGACAGTTAGGTCTGAAAATTGGGAAGAATATCCAGACAAGAAAAGGAAATGAAACAAACCTGTGAAAAATACAAACTTCGGCAATGAATTGTAGTCTCTTATTGAAGGCAGAGAGATCAGAAGAGTCTTCAGATAGTTGTACCTTCTTAGCTGCCTCACTTATGTCAGTCAACTCTCTTTTAATTGCATTATGCCAGAGCAAAATTTCGTCAATGGGATGAGGCAAGGTTGAACCAACAACATTAGAACTTAGCTCCATATATTTCCTTTTACCATTTGCAGATGATTCGCATGCGCAATGTATCTCTGTCGTAACAATTGGTTCTGGTAATTCTGAATCATGCGACCATGTTTTGGAAATTGAAATGGCTTCACGACTCGTGCAAACATTAGTGGGTTCTCTCCCCTCCATCCAGGTGAAAATAACCTTCATCAACAAAGGTAAGATCAGTTTCCTCCGAGCTCGCTTCAAAAACACCACCAAACAATGAAGAAAATCTCACAAAGGATCTCACCTGCTGAAGAAGCTTCTTGTCGGGTATTATCTTGGATAGGCACTTACGCATATCTTGGTGTTCATCAGATGACACTGAAGAAGAAAGCCATGGCAGAAACTCAGCCATCATATTAATAGGAATGCTGCAGAGAAACTGCCACACAAGTGAAGCCTGCTCTTCAAATGTAAACTTCTCAATTAGCAGTGGGAAGACCTGCAGTTATCCAACAAACAGCAAGTGAGACTGATCTGTTTTGCCCCTCTACCTGCAAACTCCTTAAGTGGACTGAGAAATGGTACCGAGCAACTTTACTCTTAAGGGATGCTCGGTAGTGTGAATTAGGCAAGTGTTGTTGCAGTAGCATGCAATTGAACAAGAACACACAGTTTTGTGCGAGCAATTCTTTAAACTAGTCTAACTATGTATCATTATAATAAGAACAAGAAAGTAAGACAAGCTGTCATGAAAAATAGTATCAAAGAGCAACTAACAAAAACCCTTGCACCAAGAGGGCAAAGTAGAAAAGAGAAGACTCCACAAAGCAAACAAAAGAGGACCACCTGATTGCCGTTGGAATTAAGGCACTGCACAAGAAAAGCTATTAATTAAATAACTTTATCAAACAAGTTTACCTGCTCTTCTTCCTTGGACATATGCTGGCTTATAGATGTTTGTATGGCACCAGTACAAGAAGCTAACTCTCTCCGGTAGCTTTCTTCATTTTGTATGCTCGAATTCAGTAGCTCAAATAACTGATCGAAGAGAACACTCTCCCCCTCATGTTCTAGGGAGTAAGTCCGAGCGACATTCTTCACACGTATATCAAGGGCCGGAAAGATGACCTACAGTTCCAAACACAAAATTAATGACACCTTACGATTCCAAGACCCAAAAGAAAAAATGGTAAAGACATTGTCCGCTCCTTTTCCATACTCTTGACATATCATTACTGATGTAACATTTCCACCAGTTGAAAGAACAGGCACCAGAACTTTGCCAGACTAACTAGAAAGATAAATTTTGGCAGTACATTCTCTGTGCATTTCAGGAAACTCTAGTATAAATGGCAATCAGAATTGATTAGAATTTACTTGATCAGTACTAAAAAACTATAGAAGGTGATGACAAGTACATATATAGATCAGTCCCACACTTTTATCGCATTAGATTTAAAATATGCACTACATCTCATAAGATAAACTCATATAGCTTCCACTCTATTGACTGTTCACTGTGTGGCAGGCATATTGAATATTGAAGTTTCATTTCGTTGCTCTGTTTCACTCTATTCGCCAATATGAGACTATTTAGTGATGCAAGTTATTCCTACTCCTTCGCATTTCCAAGCACATCTCCGGAAACTCATAGTGCATTCCTAGAGTCAGGTAAAGTCAATTTGACATGTAGCTAGTATCTTACTAGCTATTAATTTAGCTCAAGGGTATATCAGTTAAAGCTCCCTTTCTCAGCCTGCTGCTACGCACAATTATTTACATTGATGACAGGGGAAGAGAAAGGGGTAGCATATAGGAGAACGAACAAGCATAAAGCACATAATCAACGTCAAATAAGCAAAAGAGAGAAAATGGCCAATGACTGTCTTGTATGCCCCTAAGTGGAAACTTAAGGAATGATAATGACAACAACTCCACTGCTGTGAAGAAAAGTAATTTTATGTATCGGTTCAAATAGTTGGAAGATTCCGTTCCAGGAACTTAAGAAACTTAGAAGAACAGCTAAACCCAAGAAACAGACCAATCGCAACATGTTCCACCCGCCACCACTCAATTAAGTATCAATGGAGCATCTAGGCACAGAGAAACCAGTATGTCTGAGTTTTTTTTGTTATTTAAGAAGTTCTGAAAGCAATGATGGAAGGCATTCATGTAGATAATAAATACTGAACAGAGGGTACTAGACTCTAGACTCTCATCCTAAAACTGCTTCTCAACAAAGTAGTCAGCCATAATAATTAACTAATCAAGGCCTGAAGGAAATACGAGTTGGAACAATGCAACAAGCACAAAACCTCCTGGCACCCTAAATCCCCAAACTGAGCAATCTAAAACAGAAGCTTCAGATAGCAACCGACTCTCCATCGCGGTTGTTCCATGAACAACTTGGCAATCAGGAAGAGCCTTCAATCAGATTTAGTAGCAGTCTAGCAGAGAAATCAAAGCCAGAAACGAGTCACCAACTGAGAGCATGGAGGGAAAGGATTGGGATGACATAAACACCAAAAAGGACGCCACGAATCACAATTCCAGAACCCCAATTTCAAGCAATTCGACCAGAAAGGTTCGTTCAGAAACTGGAAAAAGGAACAAGTAAATGAAAAAAGGGGGGCAATCGCCTACCTCATCCTCAGCATTGCAGTGGTGCTTGTAAATTCCACGGAGGAAGTGATACTTGTCCAGCAGAGGTTTAATATCTCCGCCACTGGTGGCTAAATCCATGGCGGCGCGGTGGAGGCCGTCGAGCTCCGAGCGGATAGCTTTGTGGAAGAAGAGGAATATGAGTATGGGGGACTTGAGTACGGAATTCTTGAGGCAAGACTTGGACGGCGTCGAAGGATCGATTGGGTTCAGTGGACCTGCCATTACCGCTACGCCGCCAGCGCCTCCGTCCACACCGGAAAATGGCGTCGCCATTACTGGGATTTGCCCCACCGAAAAAACCGAATTCGCCGATTTCAACTTCCCTCACTTCTTCATGCAAGGCATCCTCCTCTCCTACCTTCTCCAATTTTCGGGTTCGTCTAAAATTATTCTGATTCAATTCTTCTCCGTCTCTCTATCTCTGATATATATTTTTTTTTTTTTAGCTGGATTTGTGTTTGGAGAAAATTTTCGCTCCAGGACAGGATTATTCATTATATAATTATTTTTATGCCTTCTCCATATTTCTGATTTTTTTCTTTTAATAATTGGACCTTGAAATTTTGAGTCACGGTTTAGCCAAGTCAGCAATTAATAGGAGGAGGCTCCTCCATGTGTATCAGAGCTAATTAGGGGTTAACAAAATACTTCCAATCCAATAGAATTATCACTCTCGAGTTTGTAATTTATAAAATTTTAAAGTTGTTAGATGATTGAATGAACTCGTAATTAAATCGTTTCAAATATCAATAAAACGAGTTTCTTGGATAAGAACTCTTGTTGCAGTTTATCGTGCGCAAAATTTCTACTAGTTTTGTGAATAAGATTGTTATTTTTGTATGTTGAAAGTTTGGTCGAAAAAAAATTGAGCTCTGTATTTGTGAATTTCCCAATTTGTCACTTTTCACGAATGATTTTTAACTATCGGTTTGTCTATTGTAGCCTTATAGACCCTATACCTTAGAATGAGACTATTTTATGGGACATATGATTTTTTCTTATCATTTATAAGTTGATATATTCGTCCAATAGTTTGTTTGGCTGGAGATACGAAGATAGAAATCAGCAATTCGGCCATCGACGTAATTAATCTGTTAGGGGTATGAGCTTTACATTGATGAATTCCATCATTGAGGGCCAATATTTATTTCTTTATAACATATGACCTTTTGAGTTATGATCTTCTAGTTAAAAAATTTATCCTCCGTAATTAATCATCATCAACCGAAAAACTTTATGTTAAATGTTCATTTCCAAAATCAGTGGAGACAAAGAAGATAGCACACGTGGCATCAACAAGGCGGAGTATGCCACGTCAGACAGGGGAAATGGCTGGGATCCGTGGACACGTATGGAAAGCATGAGGCGATCAGCGTCCCACACCAGCCCGCCTCGTTTTGTCCTCCTCTCCACCTCACCCTAGGAGTGAACAAACACATCCGCAAACCGACCTATCCGTCCAACCCAATCCAACCCACCTGTATTTATCGCTAAAACGAAGGTTTTGGATTGGGTGAGGATTTTCTTCTGTACAACCCGTCTCTTTTGGGTTGGGTTTGGATTTTGGATTACACAACCCGTAGAACCCGACCCGACCCAACCCGTGTTCCAATTATTGGTATGAGTTCGTATCCAAAAAAATATTTATGTCATATATAGTCATACTTATGAGAAAATTAAGATATTTTGCCATGTTTTTCTCTTAAGGTCTCCCTAATCTAATGCATTATTCGGCTTAAAGTTTAGACATAAATTTAATATAGCTATGATTCACGTAATTTTTTTTTCTTGTGTACAATTTTAATAGAATAACACATTTTTGATGCGTTCATTTGTAATCTTTTTAGCCTATTTCAACAAATATCGTGAAAAAAACTAGACATAAGTTGAAGTAAATCAAATTTTATTAAAATTCAAACAACATTTGTGAATTTTGATACCTTTCACCTTGGTTTATTCGTTTGAATTTTTAATTAGTTATAAAATATTTTTATGGTGTAGAATCATTACTTATTATGTGTTGGGTTGGGTTTTTACTTAAAAATATCGCCAACCCGACCCGACCCAACCCAATTGGAAACAAACCGTAGGGTTTAGATTTTTTTGGTGGGTTTGGGTTTAATATTTTCCAAACCGTAGTGCATGGGTCGGGTGATTAAAATGTCTAAACCCGGACCACCAGACCCATGTACACCCCCTACCTCACCCCGTCAATCCCAATCCAACCTGATGACGTGGCGGGACTCAAGCTCTTATTTCCCTGACGTGTCCATACCGATCCTTCTTGACGGCTGTTAATGTGGACCCCAACCCCTGACTTTCGCCATTTGGTGGGTGGAATCAGGAATGGTCAAATTTTCCATGCACGTAAAAGAAGGAATTGTTTGATTTTCCCATCGTTGTTTGATTCCATCAATGAATGCAATTCAATGGGAGGGGATGTCATGTCGGCCAAACCATTAACACTTTTGTGGCTCCCCTTGAATGTGATTCTTCATTCTTTCTCGTCTTGGCATTAACTCTTGCTCATCAACGGCCCGACCGCAAAGGTGAAAGAAATTATTGTGACCAGGGTAATTGGGATGGCTCCTTTTTCAATACAAATTAGATTTTGTGTGTTAATACAACTCAAACCGGTTTTCGTTTTGAACTATGAGCTCATTGATCGGTACGAGTTAGTTAGATTGATTGGATTTTGTTGGATGAATTATAAGCTACTTAGGTTAATCAAACCAGATTCATTCGGGTAGGAGTCGGTCCGTCTGAAAATCTGAATTTTCAGGACGAAACTGAAATCTACTGACTACTATGCAGAGTCATTGGGGAGCCACACTGGGAAGCAGTGGGGTTAATGAACTCCACTCTAAAAATAGGCAACTGAAAATTGTATTGGTGCGCATTAGTTGCCCGTCCATTTTAGATTTTGAACTCGAAAGTTATATGATAGACGATAGATGAAAAAAAAAAAAAAAACCCTACAATTAGTCAATAAATTTTCAACTTCCATCTCCATAGACTCAATGAAAGTCATAACCTATAGTACTTAATTGTCATTTATTTATTCATAATCTACTAGGTTTCCCAAGAAACAGACTTCGAGTATTCAGTTTACACATTACGTCTGTTTGTTGGGGTTTACGACCAATATACTGATTGATATACCTAGAGAGTCCTCTCATATAGTTTACAACTCGACTATTCACCCGTGCTATTCAAATATCGGAGACAATAATTGTAGCAAGTAGGTACTTTTGTCCCCCCCCCCCCCCCCCCCCCCCATCTCAATTGATGCGATATGATAATCTAATTGATCCCTTTTTTTGGTACGGTATGAAACATCTTATGTTTCGCGCCTTAGTTTTTATTCTAAGTGTATTCTTTGTTTTTGTCCTTCATTGCGTTTGTTTGTTCTTGACTAAATCTCTCTCCGCTTCATAAACCATTTCTCTATCATCTTCTTTATTTGGAAAGAAGTTAGAAAAAAGATCTGAAAATGATAACAACACGCTACTAAAAGAAATCAATACCCAAGTGACCACATGTTTATAGATCACCATCTTCCCACCATATCCACAATCTAGTGATCTACCCGACCTCTTTTGATGAAAAGAAAGAAGAGGGGGTAAGTGGGAAAGAGCGTGGCAGGCATATGTTAGCCACACACCCCCTTCATTATAAAATTACCATCACCTCATATTTGGATCGCCCACTCACTCCCTCACCCCCAGATTCGAGATAAAACAATCCAAAAGCGCTCTGCCACCAACTTTCTCCACACCTATCCATGGAGTTTCCACTGCATTTTCCTCTCCTTTGTCCTCTTATTTTCCCCACTTTTCCCGACGGACCTTTCAATACTTTTCAAACGTCCGTTTGCACCTTTCATAACCCCAGGTAAGTGTTCAACCCTTAATTATATCCATCAAACCCCATTCATTATCCAGCCATCTAATCCAACATCTCAAATCTCAACCTCTGCCGCTCCACCTCCTAACAACAGCAAGCAGTAACAGAGCGCACATATACGAAAGATTATGGTCCTAAGCAGGTTAATGTTGCTTCACACAAAAGGCAAGATTAAACTTGAGAAAGTAATTTTCTTGCCTGACATAGTGACATTACAATGGCCTCGCCTTCTTACTGTTTTGAAAACATGAGATATAGCAGACCCACGAGAATGCATGGTGGTCTCGTCAAGAATACCAGAACTACTACGGAGGGAACAGTACATAGAAAGGCCCATATACACCAACCACCATCAAGAAGTTGTCATGAAAATCTTGCAATAAAGCTAGGTTCCTAATCGAGCAACTTGTAGTCCTATCTATCCACCTTTCCACACACAATATCTTGAGTACCTATGATGGTGACCACATCTGCTGGTATGTGATGTTTGGACATAGAATGAGCCCTTGTGAATGAGCGAGCCAGGTGCTCTTATATTACGACGGTAGGGACGATTGCTTCCATTACTGACAATAAAGACAATGACTTGGAGAGGGTGCTTATCTATGTGTAACTCTGTTCTTCCCATCCTAGAACATCAAGGAAGTCAGTCTGTCTATTCTAGAGCTAAAGGCAACAACATAACACAAGATCAAGCAGTTACAATTGAATCATAGTGCTTCAAGCATAAACTCCGGAAATCGATACATGCATATCAAAACTGCTTTCAAAAGAGTATTGACTTGTAAATTCACCATGGAATAAAGAAGCGCATTCAACAATCTATCTAACAAACTGCAGCCTAATTGAATACTAATGCTTCACGGGCTGAAACTTGGGAGACCAAATCAAGGAACACAGGCAGGAAAGGAAACAAATTCGATTGGAAAGAACGAACGTTATTATTATATTGTATTGTCCTAAGCATAATGCTTAACCTTCCATCAAATTCAACAAGCAGAATTTGAATGGTCCATGGGAAACCTCACAAACAGAAACACATTACAAACACGATTACTAAACAAGCGTCTACAAGAAAACGATGAACGGGTTAAAGCGCACATACTCGATCGTAGTAGGAAACACCGGGAAATGGCAAAAAACTAGATAGATGAACCCACTTTGCTAAAAATGCACTTATCTGGCTGTTCGTCGACGACGACCACCACCGCCGCCGCCGAGCACATTCCATCACTCCTTGCTCTTGAGCCTCTCAACGCGCTGATTCAGCTGCTCGATCTTGACGACGAGATTGGTGACGGAGTAAAGCAGCCAATAGAAGATCAGCGCCGCGGCGATCAACAGGGCGTTCCTCTGGCTCTTCATGATTGATTTCTGGTGGCGGAGCTGCTCGCTCGGGCTGCAGGATTCGCCGTCGCAGCTCGGCCGGGTCTCGTACTTCCAGTAGATATCCATCAGCAGAAACAGGCAGAACGGGACCACCGACAAGAACGGCTTCAGAAGGTTGCGAGTCACGGCGATCAGTCCCTTCCGCAGTCCGTCGAGGCCTGGGATTGTTAGGAGGAGGACCATGATCGCCTCCGCGCCCGCCGCGTACCCAAGCATCACCCACTCGAGTGCCATCTCTGTGTAGCCGGGAAAACGAAGAGAGAGAGAGAGAATTGGATTTCGGGCAGTCGATGGAAGAAGAACCCTAGATCTGGTTCCTTGCTTGGTTCTTGTACTTACTTTGCTTTTCTTGCTCGTTAAGGGTGCTCGGCAATCATCTTTAACAAAAGTTCAACAATACCCCTTCTTACAAAAGTTCCGTAGTGATCCCTAGACTTTTATATAATACTCCGACTTGCACTAATACTTTCTCATCGTTCCAAATATGGAACCAAACTTTTCTTTTTGTCTCAAAATTCAAAAATTGGCATCAAAATGTTGATAGAAAAAAGCACAAAAATCAAATACAGAAAGCTCCGTCCTAAACGACGATAAGATACATAACATAACACATTTAAAGCTTCTATATTCGATAGAAGTTGTTGGTAATTAGGTACTACGAAATCTAATTGCATCCAACATAGTCCCTATCCAACAGCTGTTACATGTTGGATCACTCAACGCATCCCTACAATGAGCGCGTGAAAAGATCAAAACAAGAGGTAATTACTAAATCTATTTGTTATCAATAAAAATTTCAATCATATAATGTGTCCAAATATAGCATCGCCTCATCTCCATTACTATTTAGTGAATCGCTCGATGCATGACGATCCTGTACGAGATCAAGTATGGGCAATCTGACAGTTCTTATTGAAATGAGTGCTGCTACTTATATGTACATTCTACAACCTCACAAACCCAGACTCTACTAACTGATTCAGCCCACTAACTCCCTGAAAAACAGCTAACACAACTGACCTCCATGATCTTCTGCTAACCACGATCAAGGACCAAAGTGACTCAAACATAAACACAAGTACTGACTCGACATTATACCATACGACACAGTTTTGACTCAAATGCTTAAAACACAAATTCAAACATCTTCTTTAGCACCAAGTTTCCTGCGAGCTGAGTTGCTTGTGAACCAGGTTCAGGTCTTCATTCAACAAGTCCTCCCCTGAACTGAACTCAGTTTCCAAGGTTCAGTTCATATCTTCAAATTCGGTGATGCTGCATATTCCAAGTCTGCTTCTCAATGTCTGAAAAACCTCCTGCTTTAATGGCTTTGTCATCACATCTGCCACTTGATCCTTTGTTCCACAGTAGTCCAATTCAATTACTCCATCCTTCACAAGCTCTCTTAGAAAATGAAAGCGAACATCAATATGTTTGCTCCTTCCATGCAAGACTGGGTTCTTTGCCAACTTTATAGTTGAACTATTGTCACAAAGGATTGTAGTTGTTGAATTCACACTGCTGCCCCAACCCATCTTTTCCAGTATCCTTCGAAGCCAAATGCATTGTGCTGCACAGTAGGCAGCTGCAACAAATTCTGCTTCAGTTGTGGAGAGTGTCACAATGGGTTGTTTCTTGGAAGCCCATGATATGGCTGCTCCAGCAAGAAAGAACACGAACCCACTTGTACTTTTCCTGTCATCTGCATCCCCAGCATAGTCACTATAAGTGAAACCAAGCAACCTGTCCTCCTTCCCTTGTTTCTTCTTGTACCATAGGCCATAATCCACAGTCCCTTTCAGATACCTTAAAATCCTTTTTGCTGCTAACATATGCTGCTTTGTGGGTGACTCCATATACCTGCTAAGTAGACACACCGAGAACATGATATCAGGTCTTGTAGCTGTGGCATATAGTAGACTTCCAATGAGTCTCTTATAGTCAGTAGGGCTAATAGGAACCCCATCCCCTGCCTTGCTCAACTTAGCTCCAGGAACAATTGGATTATGAACATGATTGCAATGCAGCAGACTGAAAGTTTCCAGAATTTCTTTGACATACTTTGGCTGTCCAATGAAAATACCAGTCTCACTTTGAGTCACCTCAACTCCGAGAAAATATTTCATTTTGCCCAAATCTGTCATCTCAAATTCCTGCTGCATAGACTTCTTGAATTCTGTGAGCATAGTAGGACTGTTGCTAGCATACATTAAGTCATCCACGTATAAACTCACTAGTAGCATACCAGAGTCAGTAGCTTTGATGAACAAAGTATGTTCATAGGGACACTTCTCAAAACCAGCCTTCACAAAGTAGGCTTCAATCCTACTATACCAAGCTCTGGGAGCTTGCTTAAGCCCATAGAGAGCCTTGTTCAGTTTATAAACCTTGTGTTCCTCCCCAGCAACCTCAAATCCTTGAGGTTGCTCAACATATATCTCTTCAGACAGTTCTCCATGAAGAAATGCAGACTTTACATCTAACTGGTAAACAGTTAATCCATGAAATGCTGCCAAAGCTAGGAGTGTTCTGATTGTGTCCCAACGAGCTACAGGGGCAAACAGCCAAACACCTCAGTGTAGTCTATCCCTTCCTTCTGAGCATATCCTTTAGCCACGAGCCTAGCTTTAAATTTGTCAATAGATCCATCTTCCTTTAGTTTTGTTCTAAAAACCCACTTCAGACCAATTGCCTGCATTCCTGCTGGAAGTACTGTGAGTGTCCAGGTCTGATTTCTTTCAATTGACCTCATTTCCTCCTTCATAGCATCATTCCACTTAGGATCTAGATATGCTTCTTCAAAGGTTTGTGGATCATTAGTAACAGCCACCATAACCATCCAATCACCTGTCACAAAACTGCAGTCATAGCTAGATAGATGAGCTGGTGTTTTTCTTGTTCTCTTACCCAGATCAGTGGTAGTGGGAAGGCCAAGCACATCTGTTTGATTGTCAGAATCATCCTCCCCATCATCATTACTGTGACTTGAGACCACAGGATTTTTTGGACTTGGTGGTTGTTCAATTTCTTCTGCTGATTCAGGAACTGCCCCAGCTATTTCTTGAGAATCTTCCTCTGAGTCTGAATCCCACCAATCATCATCACTTCCTTCCCACAACAATTGTGTTTGAGTTGGTTGAGCAGCCTTATCCCAACTCCAGCCTTTGGATTCATCAAATACAACATCTCTGCTAATGATCACCTTCTGACTGACTGGATTATAGAGTTTATAAGCCTTTGATTCAGCTGATATTCCCAAAAACTGACATTTTTCACTCTTGTCATCAAGCTTTCTTCTGTGCTGATCTGGAATATGTGCATAGGCAACACTGCCAAATACTTTGAAGTGAGAGATTGAAGGTATGTTTCCAGTCCACAACTCTTGTGGAGTTTTACCCTTGTTTGCTGTTGTTGAGCTTCTGTTTAGCACATGTGTGGCCCAAGCAACAGCTTCAGGCCAAAATTCAGAAGGTACCTTCATATCCTCAAGCATGCACCTTACCTTGTTCATCACTGTTCTATTCCTTCTTTCAGCTACACCATTTTGTTGTGGTGTATAAGCAGCAGTTAGTTGTCTTTTGAGTCCAGCTTCATCACACAAATCGTTGAGTTCATTCAACATGAACTCACCTCCTCTGTCTGTTCTTAGACACTTGATGTCTAGACCAGTTTCCTTTTCAACCTGAGCCTTAAACCTTTTAAACCAATCCAGTGTTTCAGATTTTGCAGCCATGAAGTACACCCACATATTTCGACTGAAATCATCTATGAGAGTGAAAATATACTTTTTACTTCCATTGGACATAGGAGTAAGTGGTCCACACAAGTCTGCATGGATCAATTGTAGCTTGGAAGCTGCTCTCCGCTGACTTTGCCTTGGGAATGGCTTTCTATGCTGCTTCCCAATCTGGCAAACTTCACAGATTCCAATGCTTCCTTGAAGCTTTGGCATATCAGCAACAAATTCTTTCTTCTGCAGCTGCAGCAATCCAGGAACATTTAGATGTCCAAATCTGCGATGCCACAAGGTGAGTGACTGTTCTGCAGCAGCATTAGTTTGCAGACACTGTAACTGATTATTTGCAACTGTGTTTTCAGCATGAAGCACAAACATACGATTTGATTTCATCTCAGTCTGGAGCAACATTCCTTGTTTCTCATGAAAGATTTTACAGCATCCATGCTTAATTACAAAAGTCAGCCCCTTTACTTGCCACTGTCCAATGCTTAATAAATTGGTCTTAAGTCCTGGCACATAGAAAACTCCCTGAACCAGAATGCTCCTCTGATTTACCATCAGTCTCACATCACCTTTGCCTGCTACATCAAGTCTGGAGTCATTTCCAAGTCTAACATTGCAAGCAAATTCAGTATCAATCTTGGTAAACCATTTTCTGTCACCACTCATGTGGTTGCTGCACCCAGAATCTAGAAACCACCAGTCTTCTCCCTTGTCACTTCTGTTGTGATCAATGAAAGCCATGAGACTATGTGTTTCCTCCTCCAGTTCAATAGAATCTTTGGATTCAACACATGACATTAACAGCATATCATCTTTCATATCTCCATAACTCTTGTCCTGAACATGTCCAGAATTAGTGTAGTAAGCATGTGGGTTTGAGTGATTTGAATACCACTCAGGACACTCATTTCTGTAATGTCCTAACTTATGGCATTTAAAACACTCAATTGATTCCCTATTCCAGCCTCTACCACCATTTCTTCCTCTTCCTCCTCTTCCAGGATAATATCCACCTCTTCCAGAACCTCTTCCTCCCCTACTGCCAAAGTCATGTAAGGTTTTCAGGGCTTGATCACCCTCTGCCATATTCTGCTTCCCATGCTTGTGAAATTTTTGTTCATGGACCAATAATGAACTTTGCAGATCATCAACAGTAAGCAGATCAATGTCCTTAGATTCTTCTATGGAGCATACCACATAATTGAACTGTACAGTCAAGGTTCTAAGTATCTTTTCAACTATCTTAGCATCTGTGATTAACTCTCCACAGTTCCTCATGCTATTAGCTATAACCATGACTCGAGAGAAGTACTCAGTAATGGACTCACCCTCATTCATTTCCAGAAGTTCAAAGTTCCTCCTGAGAACTTGCAGTTGAGCCTTCTGAACCCTTGCTCCACCCTGAAACTTCACGCGCATGGAATCCCACAATTCCTTGGCAGTAGCCTTCTTGGTTATAGTCTTCAGGATTGTTTTATCAATAGAAATAAACAAGTAGTTCTTGGCCTTCAGATCCTTTAACCTGAAATCATCAAGACTCTTCTGTTGATCTGCAGAAAGCTCCTCACCAGCCACAGGTTCACGAAAGCCATCACTCACAACACGCCAATATTCTTTAGACCGAAGCAGATTCTCCATGAGCAGTGTCCAGTGCTCATAATCCCCATCAAACT